CTCGAGCACGAGACACAGGTCCTCGCTCAAGCATAGGTTTTGTCACTCGAGCATGCTTCTAAACACGCAAAAACCTGAGAGCTTGCAATTTACGCTCGAGCCAGCCCTTTTGTCGCTTGAGCGGAAGTATGAAAATAAAGGTGGTTGCTCGAGCGTGGAAGCAAAATTTTGGGTTTTCCAGATTTGCTCCCAAGCTTCAAAACACGAATTTAACACCTCAAAACTCATCCTCTTGGGCCAAAATTCTGGAAATCAAGGCCCAAAAGGATGTCAATTGAACAAAATTCCAACACAAACTTTATGTATGATCCATAAACAAGACATGCATGCAATCCTTTGAACTTAACCTCCTCAAAACATGATCAAACTTGACATTTAAATAGAAAACATGATGAGTACTCAAAATGTAAGTGAGATGGACACATGCATGAAAGAATTATTTGAAATCATGCCCAATATGTGAAGAAATGAACATGCATGCCTGGTTTGATCCTCCTCTCTACTCCTTAAGCTTGATTCTTACATCTTATGGTTCAATTTACTTGAATTCATGCATGAATTAACTCAATTTCATAATTATGGGTTTGATTTCTTACCTAGAGGCTTGAATTCCCAAGAGATGAAGTTAAAACTCTCTAATCTTCTTCAAATAGCAACAATTCCTAGCACATATTTGGTTTGAGCTCAAATTATCAAGTCTTGGACCAATTCTCCCTTCTCCCTCTCACTCTCACATTTCGTGTTTAAAGATGGAAGATGATAGAATAAAAACACGCATTTAGGTGTAATATGGTCTTGTAAGGCCACTTAATGGCATAAATGTAAATAACCTAAGCTAAACTAATTAACATTAGTTATTCTAATTTAATTGTGCCAAATCGAATTTTAATTAAATTTACCATAAAATCCTATAAATCCTAATTAACACATAAATCAAGCCAATTTCTGAGTCGGATGCCGATAAGGCCTTCAATTCGCAGTTCGAGCTCAAAATATGAACAGATTTTTCTACAGCAAACAGGTATAAATACAAAATGATGCAATGCACATATAATTGACTCGGGATTTCTTCATAATTACTTATTTGGCATACTTAAACATGGATTAGTGTTAATTATAGGTTGGGGTTATTACAATAATTGCTAGTGTTGCAGAAAAGAATAAATGAATAGCCTTGATTCTCAAAAAAAAAAAAAAAAAAAAACCATTTTTTCCCCCTATTTTTTTTTAATTGGGGGGGTTTTTTTTTTTTGGCCCAATACTTACTACATGGGTTAATTAGAAAGCTTAAGGGACCTAGACGTTGCACAATTAAGGAAAAATAATGACTTGTTAGGATCCATAGCCTTTTTAGCTCGAGTTGTTAAGCCCGTAAGGATGTCTTCATACCTAGTGCCCTAAAACCATCTGGTTTGGGAGTCATTAGCCTAATGCTTGCTACATGGGTTAATTAGAAAACTTAATGGATTAGGACATTGCACAGTCTAAAATATAAATAAATAAATAAATAAATTTGAGAATCCTAGTTGCAAAAGTTTAGGTTGTGTTTGGTAGAGTTTTCCAAATTAATTCCACCTCTACATTCCAATGCTATGTTTGGTTTAAGTTTTCAAATCATGATTCCAAATCAATTTCAAAATACAATTTGAAAACATGTTTGGTAAAACAGACAATTTTTGAATTTTTGATTTATCCGGTCATCCGTCCAGACATCCTTCGGATGTTCGGCCGGTCGTCCGAAACAACCTCTTTTTCTTTTTCTTTTTTTCAATTGCCAATCACCACCTGTTATTTGGAAGAAAAAAAAATATTTGTTTTTGATATTTTTTAAATATGGAAATTATGTTTTTAGACCAAAATGACAAATTATTTTTTTGAATTTGAGTTGTGTGCTTAGTTATGAGTCATAAGTTTTTGAATTAATTTCAAAACTCATAACCAAATAATTTTTCTCATTTTATATGTCACATCAAAAATTCAAAACTCTTTTCAAAACTCAAAACCAAACAAATTTTTTCTTTTTAAATCATAATTTCAAAACTCACAAACTCAAAATAAAACTCAAAATAAAACTCTATTCTCAAATCATAATTCTAAAACTCTACCAAACACTACCTTAGTTTTTCTGTATATGTTGGGTGTTATTATGAGTTACACTATGCTATTATAATAGACAGTTAACTAGTTATGAGGACTGCACTTTACACCAAGGGCACTGATGATGTGTTTACTAGCATTCGTAAATACAAGGGACTTAACTTTTGTAATAACTGAATTGTGGTTTTTGCTCAATAGATTCTTTCATGCTTGTCCATTGTGCTTTCAATGACTCATCATGTCATAATATCACACAGTAATTGGCATGTAAGTTAATTGATAGTTTGAGTAGTGTGATTACTTATTGTTGTTGGGTAGATGTGAATATGTTAATGTTTGTGGGCATTATTTCTGGAAACCCTCACGAGACTATAATCGTCCACTTGGGGTAACTTTGTGGTTTAAAGGCTTATTGCATATGCTAAATGCAATCGTGATCCTTATGAAAGTGGTTTAGAGTATTTTATTTTTCTTCTTTCTATTGTTTTGCACGAGGACTAGCAAAATGTAAGTTGGGAGATGTGATGTAGGCTGAAAGGTACCACATTGAGGCCGCTTAAGTTATATTTATAGTCTTTGAATTTTGTTTCTTTGGTGGAGATGATTTTTGTTGTACACTTGTATAGATTTGGCAGGCAATACACAAATTCAAGCAAAAAGTGGCATAAAAGCAGATTCTCTATGTGAGTAGTGAAAATTCCCGGCCTGCCACCTCACTTCACATACGGCCAGGCTCCACCGCATATGCGACCCACTAATGCTCGAGCAGCCAACATGGTCACTCGAGTGGCCTACCTAGGGTTGCATGCGCATAAATTCAAGCCTGTTTTGCTAGGAATAAAAAGAATAAAAGAGGTTGTAATTAGTGTTCGAAAATATTTTAGAGAAAATGAGGGGCTAGGGTTTGGAAAGAGATTTCTCAAGCTCCAAGGGCAATTTTCATGGAGCCTTTTTCTTCTTTTACTTCTTCCCAAGCTTCCATGAGTGGCTAGGCTCCTATTTCTAGGGTTTTGATGAAAGCCAAGTAAATAGGTTTTCTTTTATGTAATGGTTTTAACAATTGTATGGTTCTCAAGAAGTTTTCAAATATAATTTTTCATTATTTCTTCAAGTATTATTCTTTTTGTGATTGTTGAATGCTTCCCATGCAATGGTTTCTGTTATTTCATGTTCAATGTATGAGACGAGCCAAACTATGAGGGACTAGTTGTGTTGCTATCCTAGTTTAGAGTGAATGACTCATACTACTTGAGATGGTTCATACTTATGCATTGAACGTGTTAATTCTCTCGATCAATGCTTCAAGCTTGTAGTTGCGAAGTATTATTTAGTTCGAACCGTAACATAATTGAATCTCAAATTAAAGCCTTATTTATGTAACTAGTGGTGAATTCATTACTCTAGGTTTTTTCCAAAACCAGTAACTTTATCTTTAATTATAATTGCTAGTTTATTCGCTTTGTTCAATTTAATTATCATTAGGTTATGAACAACCTTCTCTTTCATCAAAATTAATTTAGGAATTAAAAAATTAAATTAGTTTAATTTCTCGTTTGTCCTTACGGATCAATACCTGAACTAGTCGTTATTCTAAGGAATTTGGTATAGTTTAGTGTTTATTTTTGGTATGTGAAACGACCCATCAGGGTGATGGCATCTGAAGGGGCGGCCTATCTCGATCTCTATACTGCGGCTGTGGCACAGTTCAAGAAATCTACCGAATTTCAAATAGTAGTAGATGTTGTTGTGGCCTCAAGCTTAGCCAAGAAAGAAGGGAGTGTGGCGGGACCATCAAGCTCTGCTCCACTTCCTTCTTTTCTGGAAGAGCCATCGACACTTAGAGTCCAAGAGTGGGAGTCAACCTCTTCAGAAGTAAGGTGGGCTAATGGGGGAGGTACGTCCGGGGTGAGAGTGGTGAACTCAAGGATGAAATCTACGACGAATTGGCCTTTGATAGCTGTATGAGGTTTGTAAGAGATTTCGTATTGGCTTAATTCAACAGACCAATGCATAAGCCTGCTAGATGACTCTGGTTGTTGCATAACTTTTTTCAAAGGTTAGTCCGTGAGAACCATGATGGAATGGGCTTGAAAATACGGTCGGAGCTGTCTGGAGGCGATGACCAGAGCAAATGCCATCTTTTCCAACAAGGGATAGTTTTGTTCTGCCCTCTTAAGCGCTCGGCTAATGTAGTAAACCGGGCATTAAACTGAGTCTTCTTCGCAGATAAGGGTGGCACTGACCGTGGTGTTGGAAACAGCTAAGCAAAGAAAGAGTGGCTCTCCTGGGATTTCTTGAGAGAGGAGAAAAGAGTTAGTCATGCACTTTTTTAGCTGCCAGAATGCCTCCTCGCATTCGACGGTCCAAGTAAAGGCTTTCCTGAGCACTTTGAAGAATGAGAAACACTTGTCGGTTGCCCTTGAAATAAACTGATTGAGGGCAGCTACTCTACCAGTGAGCCGTTGAACCTTTTTTACCGTTCCAGGAGACTGCATTTCTATTAAGGCCTTGATCTTCTCTACATTGGCCTCAATTCCCCTATGGCTAACCATGAAGCCTAAGAATTTGCCAAACCCAATGCCAAAGGCACATTTCTCTGGGTTGAGCTTCATTTTGTATTTGTGCAAGGCATGGAAAGTCTCCCACAGGTTTGATAAGTAATATGAAGCAAGCTTACTTTTAGCGAGCATATCGTTAACGTAAACCTCTATATTCTTACCTATTTGAGCTTTGAACATGGCATTAACCAGTCGTTGGTATGTGGCCCCTACGTTCTTTAGGTAGAACAGCATCACACGATAATGGTAAGTCCCTTAGTTGGTGATGAAAGAAGTATGTTCTTGGTTTGAACGGTGCATAAAGATTTGGTTGTAGCTCGAGAAAGCATCCATAAAACTAAGCATTTAATGGCCTGCCGTTGCATCAACCAGTAGATCTATTCTGGGAAGTGGATAACAGTCCTTTGGACATGCCCAATTGAGGTCAGAATAATCGACGCAGAGTCTCCATTTGCCATTATTTTTGCGGACCAAGACCACATTGGATAACCGTTTGGGATATTCCACATTTTGGATAAACTTGGCCTTCAACAATTTATCCATTTCCTCAGTGATGAGGTTGTTGCGCTCTGGGTGGAAAATGCCCTATTTTTGGCAGACTGGTCAAAATTGGGGGAAATAACAAAAGGTCGATGCCTGGCATGTCTGTATGAGTCCAGACGAAGACGTCCTTGTGCTTAGTGAGGAGAGCTGTAAGGTTAGCCTTGGCTTGAGGGCTTAGCTGTCTTCGTTGGGCTAGAGGGGTAAATAGGCACTTCGACTAATTCTTCTACTAGTTCCCCCCGAATTAATTCCTCTTCGTCTCTAACATCGAGGCCCTCAATGATCATTGCCTCCTTTAATTTCAACTCCTTCAACGAGGCAACATAACATTTTGTGGCTACAGTTTGCTCGCCTCTCACAGTGCCGATCCCATGGTTAGTCGAAAATTTTACTACTAGATGGTACGTAGACGTCACAACTTGGAAGACATTGAGAGCTATACGCCCAAGTATAATATTAAAAGCGAAGGGAGAATCAACGACCAGGAAGGTGAGGATCTTTGTAGTCTGTCTTAGGTGCTCCTCAATAGTGATTGGGAGGTCGATGGATCCTATAGAGGTCACCCCATCTCCTATGAAACCAGCTAAGGGGGTCTGCAGGAGTGACAACTTTTCTTTCCCAATTTTGAGTTGTCTGAAAGCATTGAGGAAGATAATATTGGATGAGCTGCCATTATCAACAAGTACACGTCTGACTTTGTAGTTTGAGAGAAGAGAGGAAATGACTAGAGGGTCATCATGAGGGTATCAGACTCCCGTGTAGTCTGTATCCGTGGAGGTGATCGGCTCTAACCATTGTTTGTGTTGCTTGTGGGGTCAGTTGATCGTCGCCACCTCTTTATCCAACCATTGCTTGATCCTTCGGAGCTCGGCTTGCTGTGCTGATCGAGATGGTCTGCCACAAGCGAGTCCATCTGCAATGACCCTAATTTCTTCCAGTGGGGGTGCAGGCCTGCTTGGGCTTGGGGTTGTTGTTGGGCCCCATCATCATTTCGCCAAAGTTGGTCGGGTCGCCTAGGGAGAGTACGTCTGTCATTCTGTCTTGGGGGATCGGTCATGGCTCTTTGGTGTGGACGAGTTGTAGTGAATCGGTTCAAACATTCCTAATGGATTAGTTGCTCAACTTGGTCCTTATGATTGACACACTCCTTAGTGTTATGGCCATGTTCACGATGGAAACGACAGTATCTAGATTGGTCCCGCCAGACGGAAGGGGATCATGAGGGTTGTGATCATTTTAGGTTATAGTCACGCTAGATTTGGTGTAAGACTTGCTCTATGGGTGAGTTAAGAGGCGTATATCGGTCGAAACGACCAGGCAGACGGAAATGGATAGGGCGGTCGGAGCGTGAGGGCCGGTTAGAATATTGGGGAGATAGGTGAGTGTACTGGAAGTGTCTTGGCTTGGGTTCTTTTCTCTTTTCTTTGGATTGTGTAGGCTTAGATATAGCGTCTTGGCGAGCTACCAAAGAATCTTCGGCGTTCATGTATTTTTGGGCTTTGGTGAGGAGGATGTCCATGGTGGTCAGAGGATTTTTGGAGAGAGAAAAGAGGAAATCCGATGGACGCAAACTGGCCAAAACTGTTAAAATGACCTTGTCATCAGTCTCCTCAACTTGTAAGGCCTCTGTATTGAAGCAAGTGACAGAGCTGTACAGTGACTCCCCTTCCGTTTATCGAATATTTAGCAACTGAGACGCTGGGTGTCGTTGACGTTGAGCGCCAATAAAATGGCTCAAGAAAGATTGGCTGAGATAGTTAAAAGAAGTGACAGAGTTCGGCTGGAGTGGACTAAACCAGAGTCGTGTTGATCCCTTTAGCGTAACGAGAAAAGAACGACACATGATCTCATCAGGAAAAGCATGGAGGATCCTGAGCGTCCTGTACACTTCCACGTGGTTGACCGGATCAGTTGTACCGTCGAAGGTGTCGATCGAAGGCATTTTGAACTTAGGAGGTAAAGGTTTATCCCTATTGGAAGCAGTAAAGAGGGAGTTAGCGGTGGAGAAAGGCTTGTTCTGTATGTTCTGCATGATCCTTTGAAGCTGGAGCTTCATTGCTCGTTGTTCTTCATTCCAAATGGGAACATTGTCCCCTCTGGCATGAAGTGGAGAAAGAACACTACTAGCTTGTCCCTTGTGGATAGTAGCGCGGTGTTATGAAATGTGATTATGGAAGAGTGGGGGTTCCTTTTGGTGAAACTGTGAGCTCGGAGGAAGGGTGCGCAGACCTTCAAGATTTGACTGTTGAGCTTGTGGTGCGAAAGATGAGAGAAATGGCCCTTGGGACACATGTGGTTGGAAGGCATGGTGAATGTGGGCTTGTTCTTGGTTTGGAGGAATGTCTTGTGGTGGTGGAGGAGAAAGGACAGGTAAGTCGCGCTAGAGTGAAACGTTAATCAAGGCTTGGTTTTGTTCAGCTAGTCGGTTGATGCTGTTAGTGAGTTCTGTGAAATATGGAAGTGGATTGTTTGGGTTGGAGGACTCAACTTGCGGGTTACCAGTATTGTGTTGTGAAGTCGTGGATCTCGTCGTAACCATCCACTCCGACGTAGAAGATAGGTGAAGATGGAACTTCCTCCAGTGACTGGGCTTTTCTCTGTCAACTAGAGTGGTTCCCATCGACGGTGCCAACTGATAATGCAGCTCGGTCGGCAAGAGATTGGTTAGACTGACACCAGCGCTCCCCAGATTGGTTGACCTTCGTCCTTCAAGCTAAACCTGCAGCAAGTCCACTGGGAAGGTTCTAAAATGGGGGGTTTTCTTCCCGTAGACCCTCCGATGATCAAGTTAGATGGGAATGTAGTCTAAATAGTCACTTAGAGAAGAGAAACAGACAGATTTTTTTGAATTGGTTATTACCAAGCGTACTTCAGAAGCTTCCTTATACCCCTCACTCATTATTTCCTAGTCTATTCGAGCTGTCTTGTTGGCCGAAAGTCTATAGTGTAGTTGCCATCGGTCATGGTGGTCTTTCCTGCTCCGGCGTGAGAGGTCTTGTTGCATTTAATACCATGACAGCCTCATTTAATGCCTGATGTGTGGGTTCAATAACTTTGCAGGATCTTTGTCTCCCACATGGCTGAGTCTCTATCTGACAGATGCCTGAATGCTACTAGGTCTGGGCCTGCATTGGCTTCTCATTACTGTTGGGATTTAACTATGCGACTATCTAGGTGTATATGATTCACACACACCACACACACACACACACAAAAAAAAAAAAAAATCTAATAATTACAATTTGTTCAATTTATTGAAATGTCTCGAAAAAATAGACGATAAGTATATTTTTTTTAAAAAAAAAAATTAAGGGACTATCTTATTTTTTATTTTTATTTTTATTTATTTATTATTTTTGTGACAAACACAATAAATTAAACAAGTTAGGGTTATCGGATTGAATTGTTTTTCTTTTCTTTTTTTTTCTTCTTTTTTTTTTTTGTAGATGATATACATGACCTTAAAAAATAGGTGGTTTAAATTATCGAAATAGAACCTGTGACAGGTCTCACAAATCCAAATAGTATCTAGACAAAAGGATAGTCCAGCCCCAAAAACAAAGTGAAACTATGAGAGTGTAATTACCCTGGAATATACATTGGGGATTGTTTTTTTAAATTAAAAAAAAATATGGTATGTAGTTAATCCGCAAGATCATTTTGAAAGTAAAAAATTCTTATTGTACAAATTGAAAAACAAGAAGCCAAATGGAACACTAGCTTGTAAAATTAAAGGAGAAATCAGGCTTTGGGTTTGACCTTTTATGTCGTAGTAGTCAATTTTCACAAGCTTCTATCAGTCTCTTGTTCTATTTTTTTGTTTTTGTTTTTCTTTTCTTGATGGGTACTCATGTTCTGTTTTTCACCCCTTAATTGTTTTGCTTATGTGAAAATAAAATTCTAGTAAAATAATCATTTTATTTCACTTTCATTTCAATGAATCAAACACAAATAATGTTAGATTTGTCACATTTTTATATCACTTTTAATCTATCACATTATGTGTCAACACTGCATTGAAAATAGATACAATTGATAAGACCTATTATCTACATTCCACGAAATAGTAATGCATTTGTCTCTAACACTATTTATTTCTTTCAAAAAATGCAGATAGGTTGATTCATGACTACTACTGTAAGTATTCTCCCTTCTCCATTCATATTTGTTTCAAAGTCATTACAAACTATAAGAGAGTGAAATTTTCGTTGCAAAAAATATTGAGGAACCAATTCATATCGTTGTGATAATAGTCGTTAAAAATATGTTTTGAAAAGTCAAAAACATGGCTTTTACTAACAAAAAACATTATAAATGTCGCTAATAAATGCATTTTAGTAACAAAGTAATTTAATCCCAAAAAAAATTTAGAGACAAATTTTGGTTGTAAAATGGTAATACTAATGTTCAAATTTTGTTGCAAAGAATATAATAATGACACTTCTGACAACAAAAATATTTCTTCCTGAACAAGTACTTTTACCTTTATATTTGAATCTTTAAAATCTTTATTTATTGTAGTGAGCAATCGCATACTATTTAATTCAAAAGTTGTTTGGAAGAAAACAATAAAAGCTCCTTATTCATTTTCAAAATTTTGTCTTTAAAAACTCCGTTTTTGACTTTTAAGAAGAATATTTTAACAATTATTCTCGCGATAACAAGAATTAATTTTTTACAATAAAATTTTTACTTTTAAGGATTAAAAATATTAATTTCTAAAGCTCTTATATGTTGCGATGCAATTTTATCATACCAATGTTCAAATTGTTGGATCTCATTCAGTTACTTTTGTCATTCCTATCATGACGCTTTTGATCACTTTGATAATTAAGACTAATTGAGTATTTCATTATGGTTAGTTTTAAGGCGGTGTGTTTTTCAAGTTCAAGTTCCAAGGTGGAATCCCTGGGATTGCCAATGTGAGTTCCTTATTCGTTTCTGGATTTTAGTCTAACTTATTTGTAATTTTTATGCATGTGTGCTGATTTTTGTTTAATTTTTCTTATAGATCCTAATTGGGGTACCGAGTTCAAAATCATAGGTAAATTACTCCCCTTTTTAACTGAAAAAAGCTATTTTGCCAATTGATTTTGACGTGGATTAGGGTTGGGCACCAACCTCATGGATTGTCAAGCCTATCATTGATGTTTGAGCTCACAAAGTTGGGTTAGGATGACTTTTTAAGCCTGCTTATTAAATGGGTTGGATTTAGGAATGTTTCTTGTGGCCTAATTTGACCCAATTGTTAACATATAGTATGAGAAATGATATATGCCATATGCCCCTAATTACGATATTTATAATATTTGATTACGACCTATTATGGTATTAATTATGATTTAATTATATAACTTGATTATACATATTGTGATATTAGTTATGACTTATTATAATATTAGTTATAATATTTTTTTAATTATGATCCAAAAACTTTTTAGTTATATCTTATATGGTGTTTGGTTATAATTCTTTGCTTTTTCTTTCTCTCTCTTTTTAAATTTTTTTTTTTTTTTATAATTATAACAACCATAGAATTGAGTTATGACATTTGTGAATATTTATAGTGCTACCCAAAAAGCAACCTAAGAGGGGGGTGAATTAGGTTTCTACAAATTAAAATTAATAATACCCCAATAAATTAATTACTAGTACAACAAATTATTAACAAGCACAATGATGAACTTAGCAGTAAATGATCAAACAAAATAACAATGAATATATAACTAGCATATAGGGTAAATCAAATGATTAACACATGAATATTAGATAGCTATAACAGTAGTAGAAAAGTAAAGATATTAGGGAAGAGGAGACAAACAGATTTATAGTGATTCGGCTTCAACCAAGCCTACATCCACTCCTCAAGCTTCACTTGAGATTTTTCACTATCTTCTAGCTTCACAGGGGTACTAGCAACCTCTTTACAAATGGAGCAATCCTCCACGGATTTTACATAGACTTCACAAGCCCAAACCCTTGCAAATCTTAGGCGATTCACAATCACTCTCCAGATTTCAAGAACACAGTGTTTGCAACACTTTTACAAGATGAAATGGTATTTTTGCTTTCAAATAAAGCTTACAATAAATATCTCTCAAAGATAGATATATAAAATGAAATTTTGATTTTTCTGTAAATCTCACACAAGAAAGATGTGCTTAATGCTATAAGGCTCAGTATATAATTTCAGAGAATAGATGTGAGTGATTATAGATCAAAGAATATTTTCTGATTTTTTTGTCACTTGTTTACATTAGAAGCTTTGGTATATACAATGAAAATTATAGTCGTTTATAGCCGTTATATTTATTTGAATTTATAGTCGTTTATAGCTGTTGTAGTCATTTGAATTTATAGTCGTTTACTTTTCTTGATGGGTACTCATGTTCTGTTTTTCACCCCTTAATTGTTTTGCTTATGTGAAAATAAAATTCTAGTAAAATAATCATTTTATTTCACTTTCATTTCAATGAATCAAACACGAATAATGTTAGATTTGTCACATTTTTATATCACTTTTAATCTATCACATTATGTGTCAACACTGCATTGAAAATAGATACAATTGATAAGACCTATTATCTACATTCCACGAAATAGTAATGCATTTGTCTCTAACACTGTTTATTTCTTTCAAAAAATGCAGATAGGTTGATTCATGACTACTACTGTAAGTATTCTCCCTTCTCCATTCATATTTGTTTCAAAGTCATTACAAACTATAAGAGAGTGAAATTTTCGTTGCAAAAAATATTTAGGAACCAATTCATATCGTTGTGATAATAGTCGTTAAAAATATGTTTTGAAAAGTCAAAAACATGGCTTTTACTAACAAAAAAAATTATAAATGTCGCTAATAAATGCATTTTAGTAACAAAATAATTTAATCCCAAAAAAAATTTAGAGACAAATTTTGGTTGTAAAATGGTAATACTAATGTTCAAATTTTGTTGAAAAGAATATAATAATAACACTTCTGACAACAAAAATATTTCTTCCTGAACAAGTACTTTTACCTTTATATTTGAATCTTTAAAATCTTTATTTATTGTAGTGAGCAATCGCATACTATTTAATTCAAAAGTTGTTTGGAAGAAAACAATAAAAGCTCCTTATTCATTTTCAAAATTTTGTCTTTAAAAACTCCGTTTTTGACTTTTAAGAAGAATATTTTAACAATTATTCTCGCGACAACAAAAATTAATTTTTTACAATAAAATTTTTACTTTTAAGGATTAAAAATATTAATTTCTAAAGCTCTTATGGCCATGTTTGTTTGGGCGGACTGGATTAGTATTCCCATGACTAATAGTCCTAGGACTACCAATCCGTTAGATTATGTATTATATCTTAACTAATAGTCAAGTTTAAAATAATTAATCCATACTTCAATTGTTTAACCAAATATCGGATTAATAATTTTATTGGACTATTAGTCCAATTCCAAGCTCATGTCCACCCAAACAAACATGGCTTATATGTTGCGATGCAATTTTATCATACCAATGTTCAAATTGTTGGATCTCATTCAGTTACTTTTGTCATTCCTATCATGACGCTTTTGATCACTTTGATAATTAAGACTAATTGAGTATTTCATTATGGTTAGTTTTAAGGCGGTGTGTTTTTCAAGTTCAAGTTCCAGGGTGGAATCCCTGGGATTGTCAATGTGAGTTCCTTATTCGTTTCTGGATTTTAGTCTAACTTATTTGTAATTTTTATGCATGTGTGCTGATTTTTGTTTAATTTTTCTTATAGATCCTAATTGGGGTACCGAGTTCAAAATCATAGGTAAATTACTCCCCTTTTTAACTGAAAAAAGTTATTTTGCCAATTGATTTTGACGTGGATTAGGGTTGGGCACCAACCTGATGGATTGTCAAGCCTATCATCGATATTTAAGCTCACAAAGTTGGGTTAGGATGACTTTTTAAGCCTGCTTATTAAATGGGTTGGATTTAGGAATGTTTCCTGTGGCCTAATTTGACCCAATTGTTAACATATAGTATGGGAAATGATATATGCCATATGCCCCCTAATTACGATATTTATAATATTTGACTATGACCAATTATGGTATTAATTATGATTTAATTATATAACTTGGTTATACATATTGTGGTATTAGTTATGACTCATTATAATATTAGTTATAATATTATTTTAATTATGATCCAAAAACTTTTTAGTTATATCTTATATGGTGTTTGGTTATAATTCTTTTCTTTTCTTTTTCTCTTTTTTTTTTTAAATTTTTTTATAATTATAACAACCATAGAATTGAGTTATGACATTTGTGGATATTTGTAGTACACACCTTTTTATCATAATATTACCTATTAATATGTATATACTTATAGAAAATTTATTTATCTAAATTTATACCTAGGATATATATGGCCTGATATTTAGTTTTTGTGGATATAAAATTACTAATTATGAGTTTTTTAATATTAGTTTTTATTTAATCTATGGGCTTGTTTGGTGGGCTTGGGATTGTAATACTATTTTAGAGTTGGATTTTGGATGAGACTTCTAGGCCCAAAGTCAGAATAGGTTGGACTTGGGCACAAGAGTTTTCTATACATTTCTTAACTTAAACTCCACTGACTTTGAACTTGACCCAATATTTGTCCACCACTACGGTAAATACTTCCAAATTCTAACAATGGCAAGACAAAAAAAAATGATTTTTAATTTGTCATCTTGTGATTTTTATATACAGGAGGAATCTTTTTTACAAGAATTCTATTTGCCTTATGTGCGTTTGCATTTTTAATCCGTAAGTTTAAGAGAAAGCATTTATCGATGTTTGATAACATTGAAGGCTATCTGCGAAGTCAAAATCACCTCATGCCAATTAGCTACTCTTACTTAGACATTAAAAAGATGGCCAAAGGTTTCAAGGACAAGTTGGGAGAAGGAGGCTATGGTTCTGTCTACAAAGGAAAGCTTAGAAGTGGTCCTCTTGTAACAATAAAAGTATTGGGCAAGCCCAAAGCCAATGGATAAGAATTTATCAATGAAGTTGCTACCATAGGAATGATTCATCATGTTAATGTGGTTCAACTAATTGGATATTGTGCAGAGAGATCTAAGCGAGCTCTTATATATGACTTCATGCCAAATGGGTCTCTGGAAAAGTATATATTTTCTCAAGAAGGATATATCCCATTGAGTTGTAAGCAAATGTATGAGATTTCTTTAGGAGTGGCTCGCGGGATTGAATATTTGCATCGGGGTTGTGACATGCAAATCTTGCATTTTGATATCAAGCCTCACAACATTCTTCTTGATGGGAATTTCACTCCAAAAGTCTCTGATTTTGGGCTTGCAAAATTGTATTCAACTGATGATAGCATTGTGAATCTGACTGCAGCAAGGGGAACAATGGGTTATATGGCTCCAGAGTTATTCTACAAAAACATTGGAGGCGTTTCATATAAAGCTGATGTTTATAGCTTTGGAATGTTGTTGATGGAAATAGCCTTATTAAACATATGATGGGGAAACTATATATGCATCATTAGATATAATTTTGTACGAAAACTTACAAATTTCGTTATTAGATAGCTTCCTTTGGATTGCATTTCAATTTTTCTTGAAAGTTTTTCCTAGTTGAAACTAGCTTGATTGGAGCCATGCAAGTATAATTTTTTTTTTTTTTTAATAAAAAAATTTGGATTCATTTGTCATTGTTTAGAAATTTGCTTTGAGACTGTACAATAACACCTAAATTTTTTAATTGTAAGTTATGGCATTTACAATAAAGAGAAATAAATTAAATACACAAATTATAATTTAAACGTGATTCGGCAATATGGTTACGTTCATAGAGGGAAGGAGATCAAATCCACTACATAGAATAAAAATTACAGAACTTTGAACATCTGAACTTAACCAGTGTACAATAAAAACCCTAACAAAAAATATAACATATATGATATACCTTTAAAACTTTGGATTAGACCTCAGACCTCAAGCATGGGCCTAGGTGAAGCATGATTTGGCTTTTTACTCCAATTTTCAACTTCAACCCTCCACTTCTATAAAAAGCCCCCTACAGTAATTTTGAATGTGTAGTAAAAATATAAGACAAACAAAAGCTTTCACCTTAAACCAAAAAAGTAAGTTGGAAAAAATAAAGATGAATTTTCCATAAAAAAATCTTTTAAAAGATCAACATTTTATAGGATGATAACAACTAGGAAAATATTTTGTTGCATTTTTTTCTTTTTAATCTCATTAATCCTTAGAAATTTTTAGGTAGTTGACTTGTAAGTCAACTTCCAACTCTCTATCTCAAATCTGTTTGAACAGCTATTTCTTCTTCTTCTTTTTTTATTTTTTATTTTTATTTTTATTTTTAAAACTTAGTTCTTAATTCTACAATAATTAGCTGCTTTCACTTTTTTTCACTTTTTTTCTTATTCTTGCACTGTGTCCATACTCGACTCTCCAACACTACTAACGCTTTAGAATTTTTTTTTTTTTTTAAAAATATTTATTTATTAGTTTTTAGGATAACGAAAAAAGAAAATTAAATTTATTTAAATGAAAAATATTGTTTTAGTTTTAAAAAGTGTAAATTATTTTGGAATTAAAGTTTTAACAATTCCATCCCAATCACTCTACTAATATGATTTTTTTTAATAATAACCTATACTCAAATATTTAAGAGAATAATTATTTGAATCTTTAAAACAACACTAGTGAGTTTAAAAAACGTCCAAAAAAATAATTATTATAGCAATACTCTTCGCGGTGTAGTGTGGTATAATTTGATGATAAAATTATGACTAAATTGCGGATGGTGACAAATTTATTATCAGTAATCAAATCGCAATTTAGGCAGTTGTACTTGTTAGTTAATTGAAGAATAATTTTAAACAATTATCAAATGTATGAATATAATAAATAACACTATTTTGCATAATATTTTGTATACATAGAACACTAATTTGCAACAAATTCTACATCTCAAATATCACTCACATTTATTTTTAATTTTATATTACATTGGAAATAAATAAATATATATTATGTATATATGTATTAACTATGGTAAAGGGTAGGGCTGTACAAAATACTACCTAATCCGCTAAAACTGTGCAATTCTCATTGATTCATCTACTAACCGCGGATTAAATTTTAAAATTTATATTCACTTTCAAAACTACTCTATTATTATTAATACATACATTTTTTGAATCTCTAATAAAACATCAAAGTAAAAATGAGTGTGAGAGAGATTTATGTAAAATTTGTTACAAATTAGTAGTTATATTTATAAAAAATATATGTAAAATTAGTTTGTATTATGTATATGAAATGTATTATTCAACTTAGTGTTATATATTATGCAATTAGTTGATAATTGTTTAAAAATATTCTTCCATAAACTAGCAAATTGAAAACGCTCCAAACTGCCCAAACCATGATTTGATTATTTGCCAATCTGTCATTCACTTTTTAATTTATAATTTTACTCTCAAACCGACCGATCTGCATCGTGGACAGCCCTAGTAGAAGGGAACAAATTCATAGACAGGTTATAAATTTGTAATTAATATCAAATTAACTCGCAATTAGCAAGTAAATCGGTGCAAATTAAACAATTTTAACTAATTAAACATTATTTTGTATAATCATACTCTCCAATTTGATCCTCTCCATTCTATTCATGTAATAAAAAAATTTCATTTCTTATCTAATAGTTATAAAAATTAATGTAAAATTATAGTTATTTTAACAATAATATTTGGTCTACACAAAATCCTTAGAAATGAATTGTGAAGAAAAAAAAAAGGAAGGGGTGATTGGAGAACTGACCTCTACACCCTCACCGTCACTCCTCCGCCGACCACCGTGAACCAGCTACCCTCTTTCATGACCCTCGTCGCTGCAAGTCCAACCCCCTTTTCTGCGATTGTAGATCGCGAGTCACTGCGCTAGACTGAGAAGACAGAATGGTAGGAAATGGTCGGTTTAAAAGCCCCATTTTCACTCTCTTTCTTTAAAACTCCAGTGATCAAAACCCACATTCTTCCACACACACACACACACACACAAAGAAAAAAAACTGCCTTTTTTTTTCTTTCTGCTCTAGCCTAGTTTGTAAAAGCAGAACCACTACTCTCAACTGAACTTCGCAAGAAAACAGAGATGGGTTGTGTTGCCTCTAAAATGGGGATTTCATCTTCTAAAATAATTTAAATTTAAAGAAATATTTTATCCACAATTTTGATAGTTTCATCCACACCACTCTGTTTTCTGATTCTTCTATTAATCTCTTGGCTCTTGCTCACATTAAAATCAAAGGAAAACGGAGGTAAAAGGGGTTGAGAGCAATTGGAGTCAAGAGAGAGAGAGAGAGATGTGGTCGGTGGTGGATTGTGGTTGTGTTGGAAAATAATCAGCTTGGTTGGTTTTGAAACTCAAGATTCACTGAAATTAAAAAAAAATTATTTTTTATATTTTTTTGTTTTTATTAAATTTTTTAATATTTGAAGTTTTTTTTTTTAGATACATTTAATATAATTACACTTAAAAATTATAATATTTGTAAAAAAAATCTTTAAAAAATTCATTAAATAACAAAAATACAAAACAAAACAAAAATTCAGCGAATTTTTTTTTTTCTTGTGTATTTATTGATTTTTTAAAATATTTTTTTTATAAATATTTTACTTTTTAAATATATCTAAGTAAGGTACATCTAAAAATATTTACTAAAAATATAAAAAAAAAATATATTCACTAAAGTTGCCGAAAAATCATTCACTATGTTTGGTTTTAATTTTCTGAATTCAAAAAACTCAATTTATAGGAAATTAAATTCAGAAAATTGTAACCAAACACAATAAATGATTTTTCTACAACTTTAATTCGAAATTAAAGTACGACCGAACCGCCAATTGAACAATGTTGTGATTTACAGTTTTAGTTTACGATTTCATTAATACACAGATCATACATGTTTCCCAACAAATTAACCAAAACTAATTTTGCGATTTTGAGTGGTTGATTGCTTTGGATTAGGTAAATTGGATTGTCTTTTCTTGGTGTCCATTTAACATTTGTGTTTTCCATGCTATTAGCTCTCAGTGTTTGAGCTGCTTTTTGTAGACCCTGCCTGTAAATAATTGGTATTGAGCTGATTCTTTGAAAAATCATGACCGAGTTTTATAGTATTTAAATCAGCTGTATCAACTATGAATCAATCATATTGGTTGTGAATCGAATCATGAATTGCCCATGAACATACATAATTATAAATCAGCTAATATGCATGTCATTTTTATTCTTATTGATATACCAGAGTATATTGATATCGAAGGTAACAAATGGGTATGTCAATATTTAGAAGTGGACTTCCATATATCATTTTTTTCCCTCCACCATTTTCACCAAATTACACTACAATGAGAGAAGGCAATGTTTGTGCCGATGCCCTCGCAAAATTTGGAGCTGAGCAACCGGAGGACTTGCTTGTAGTGAATGACCCTCCAGCGGAGATACGCAACCTCTTGGTTGCAGACATCCTAGGAATTTTGAAGGAGATGGCTTAACTTTCTTCCCTCCTTTTTTTTTATATATATATTTTTTATTTTATTTCTGATGATGTTATGTGTTTTCATTAATTTCTTAATAATTATCTTCAAACAAAAGAATTAATCATAAGTATTCATGTTAAGAGGTGATATAAAATGGTGACAAACAACCAGTGACATATTTTATTTCTCTATTTAGAAGCATGCCAACATCCAAATCTCTATTTGTAGAAAAAGTATTCATGTTAAACATTTAGGTTGGGCATTGCATTCTATTTCTCATCTGTTTTTCATTTTGTGAAATCTTTTGTGCACTTAAATTGGTTCTGTTAAATATTGAGTTCAAGTTGGGCACTGCCATAGACCATAACAAATCACTAATCCATTTTACCATTACTTCTAGATACTTTTTGGCGCTCTGTTGAAATGTAAACACTTAACAATATTTTTAAATTATGAACCATTGATACAAGGGATCACTACCTCAAACCATTTGCAATACCGAAACCAAAAGTCAGAGTGAGCAGAAGAACCAGTATAGATGAATTTCTGATTTCGCCACTGACGGCTTATGGGACGTGGTTTCAAACAACTTTGTGTGCCAGGTCATTAGGAGATGTCTGGATGACAGAATGAAGAGGAGAAGCCTTAACGGAAGCAGATTCAGCAAGGCGTAAATGAAAGCCACGTTGCTGAGGCAATTGCATTGCTGACTGGGCTAGCGATGGCTCAGGGGAGCAAAGATAATATCAGTGGGGTGGTGGTGGAATTGAATAATTCTGAAAAATGCATAGTGTAATAAGAGTGATATGTACGTATCTCTATATTCATTTATTCTTCAATCACCCTTTTGTCAGGCATTTCTCAGTTTTGAAGACTAAAGATTCTTTGATCTTGTTTGGATTGAAGAGTGGTGTTAAATTCTGTGCTTAAATTACATGTACATAAAATAACTATTAGCCAATTGAATGATATACATTTCGATTCGCTGGTTAGTCTCAAGCTAATTCAAACCAACTCAAGAGTTGACTATATATATATATATATATATGTGTGTGTGTGTGTTGTGAAATAAATTTTAATCACAAATAATAGTGAGAAATTACACACAAGAAACCGGACACATATTTATACGGTTTGACAAGATTATTTATTATGTTCATGGTTCATATTATGTTCATGGTTCATACTAGTTTTATTATACTGGAAAAAGTGAAGAGTACAATGTGTATGTAGATAGCAATATATATTAGAGGATCTACATATAAAGATTATTACCATAGTATACATATATACACTAGGCTTTTCAACTCTTTTTTTTTTTTCATTCTTTTTGTGCATTTTGAAAATATGTGAAAAGTAAAACATTGTTATTATTTAAAAATGCATAAAAGACCCCCCTCAAAAAAAAAGTTCGTCAACTGGGCCGCAACAGGAGCAGTGATGGGCTGAATACTTGAATTCAAGTCCTACACTGCATGTTAAAAAGTCCATCGGCTGTTCAAATCAGTGTTTGGGCTTGGATAGGGGGTGGACATGGCCAGGTTGGATCTGATTCAGAATGGGCCCATATTATATAATAACATTTCAGTCAGGATCAGGGCAATATTTTATTTGCAAGTCCGTCTAAAAACAAATAATAAATTCAAAATCTGCCTATTTGACTCTAATCATATTTAATATATTATATATATATATATATATTAAAATAAAAAATATAATTAGTTTAGTAGTTTAAAGTCTGTTTAACCTATTCAAAATTAGTAGTTTAAATTTTTTAACCAATTCTTTTACATGACTAGCAATACATAATATATGTTTATAAGAAAAGAAAGCTAAACAATGTAAAACATATAAATAATATATATATATATATATATATATTGTACAATATTATTTGTGGGTGATCCTGGCTAGATTAGGCTTGAAGTACATTTTCAGACCCAACTCACATAATAATCGGGCATTAAAAATTGGGCTTATTACTGGCTGATCCCCTTTTTGGGACTTATTACCCATTAGGTCTTGACTTTTTATGCACACATAAGTCCTGACTCATTTTTTTTTTTAAAAAAAAAACTTAAGTGTTTTGTGTTGTCCTAAATAATATTTTGTTCTCTCTCTTCCTCCACCATTTGTGCCTACTCTCTCTCTCTCCCCCCCTTCTCTCACACACACACACACACATTTCTCTAAACAATTTTATATCACTGCCGCCACCATTGCCAGACCACCACCATCGCCATGTTCACCTTCAACGTTGGTCGCTTCAACCACCGCCGTCCTCCGTCGCCTTCAACGGGTTGGTCGGGAGGACCCTCTAACGATTAAGTCAGCACACTGATCGGCCATAGCACATAAATATTTAAAAAGGAAATATTTATGAAGTATAAGTTAATCTAGATTTGGTAAAATTGGATTTGCTTACATCCCCCTTTATGATTTGCTTGCTTACCTATTTATAACTTTTTTGACTCAAATCTCATTTGTCAGATCTTGTTTTGATTGAAGGGTTCTATCCATACTTGGCCTTTGTCGGGCAACTTGCCAAGCTGCCCTTGTCTTTGATTATTGTATCTCTATCGCATGGTTGGATGATATCAAACGTTAATGGCCAGCTCGCCGTGCATTATGTCCATATGATCAATTTGATCGGATGACTTTGCTTCCTACTAAGTGCAGCCTATGCCTTAGTCTTGTATATTCTACACTTGTTATCGTTCGATGATACCTAATTCGATATCTCTCCTTTATTTTATAGATTTGCCTACTAGAAGGTTATCTTTTATATTTGCTTGTCCCCCCATGCGCCTTGATTGGATGCCAAGTTACTACCAGCTATCCTTCGTGGGCTGCAAGGGATAGGTTTGGACTTATTACTTTTTGCTTTGGGTTAGCGTGAATAGGTTTGGGCTTGGGTTCATATTTTTTCCCTCTACACAAATTATTATTGAATTATTTACTAATACAATATTTTTAATTTTGATTCATCACCTAATCTTTTAAATAACTTTAGTGCATAGTGCAGATAAATCAAGTAATTTTCATATTTATATATGCAATCAAATTTTGTGTGGTACAAAAAAAAAAATTCTAAACAAATATAAATACTTCATTTTTTTAAATTCTCATTGAACCCTGACAAATTGAAGGCCAGCCTTACTACTAATGTGATTTTTTTCAGCACTCAATTATTTAAAAGTTGGAACTATTCGAATTATCAAAATAATACTCGTAAATTCAAAAAATCTTCAAAATAATGTATTTATTATAGGATTATTCTCAAATATCTCACACCATAACAACATCAAACTTCAAATCTCAAAATATCACGCAAAGTAATAAAATATTGAGATAACAAAGGGTCTTGTTAACACGTAAAGTAATTAGTGTAGTGTAGAGTCAAAAAAAGAAGAAGAAGGCACTTATCAATAAGTCTCATACACTGTTCAAAATCCATCTAATCTCAAAACAAAATTGTTGCACCAATTAGTCCTACATATTTTTAATTGTTATAAAAAACTCTTTTTATTTTTATTTTTATAATTTTAAAAATGCTGCTACATCTAATGACTTCCGCCAGACTCACCGAAGACTTGCTGGAATATTCAACATCACCAGGAAGTCGCCGCAGTATCACCGAAAGTTCGTCAAAGTGTTTTGAGCATCGTTGGAAGTTCGTCAGAGTGTTCTAAGCTTCACTGGAAAATGTCAAGAACATCATCGGAGACTCACTGAAATATTTAGAATATTGCCCAAAAAAATAAATAAATAGAGAAATTATAGTTAAAGAAATATAACAACAACAAACAATAATGGGAAAAAGTAGATATTATTTTT